CTGGGCTCAAGGGCTGAACACCTACTCCCAAGTAGCTGGGACTCCAGGCGTGTGCTACCACCCAGCTAGAAAGAAAAAATTTTTTCATAAATTTCATGTAGCCTAAGTGTACAGTGTTTATAAAGTTTACAATAGCACATAGTAATGTCCTAGGTCTTCAGATCCACTCACCACTCACTGAGAGCAACTTTCAGTCCTGCCAGCTCCATGCATAGTAAGTACCCTTACAGGTACTCCATTTTTAATCTTTTATACCATATTTTTACTGTACTTTTTCTACGTTTAGATACATGAATACCTATTGTCTTCCCATTGCCTATAGTATTCAGTATAGTAATATGCTGTACAGATGTATAGCCTAGGAGGAATAGGCTATAGCATACAGTCTAGGTATATAGAAGGCTAGACCATCTTGGTTTGTGTAAGTATATTCTAAGTTTACACAATGAAATTACCTCATGACACAAACAAATTCAGCAAAGCTGTAGTATATAGGATCAACATACAAAAATCACTTGCATTTTTTTCTTTTTCTTTTTTTTTTTAGAAACAAGGTCTTGTTCTGTTGCTCAGGCTGGAGTGCACAATCATGGCTCACCTCTCACCATAGCCTCAAACTTCTGGGCTCAACAGATCCTCCCACCCCACCCTCCCAAGTAGCTAGGATTATAGGTGTCCCTAGCTCAATTCTAAAAATATTTAGAATATAACTATGGGAGCCTTAGTATAGGAGTTAATGAAGCAAATTTCTCCAAGTTCTTACTTTCTATTTTCACAAAAGAGGTTCTCAGATAGAAAATGTATCTATATCTCCAAGGGAGAGGATCTTTTTTTCTAAACTATGTACATCCATGATACCACTTTGCAACTGAAGGGGTCCAGAATATGCCACTGTGGAAATAAAAACTATTTTGAGGTGAGGGTATTTGAGTTCCAGAAATTCCTTATCTGACTAAAAGCAGAGTGTCCCAAAAGAACTCAATTGTTATAAATCCCCCTGTCAGAGAGAGGTCTGCAACACACCCAAACAGACATTGTCACACAACTCCATCTCCTATCTACTCTCCTAAGGGCCCATTCATTTATCTTCCCAAAAAGTCATTTGTTTTCCCATAAATGCCCTTTCCTTCCCTCCCCCTTTTTAAGAAGTCCTTTGTTTTCCCTTAAGTGCGCTTGTCCCAATACCTTTCACCTATGGAGATGGTATATAAGCTCTAAATTCTAACTGTCCCTTTGAGTTTCATTTCTTTCTGAGCTTCCATGCTTATGAGTGATTAAATCTGTTTTCTTCTCTTGCTAATCTGTTTTTTGTCAATTTAATTTCCATCCTCCTCCCAAACCTAAGAGGGTAGAGGAAAACTTTTTCCTCCCGAAAAGAACCTTAGCTGAGAAAAAACGAGGGGGAGTAGAGAAAAACTTTGCTTAAGTTTAAAAGGCTTCTCAATCTTTTAAGGCTATTCTAATATATACCACCCATCTCCCACACCCAAGACCAAAAACTCCTGCTGTTTATCCTTTCTTATTAAAGCTAAGCATGTAAGGGCATCTAAGCATCTAAAAGTAATGGTTCTGAAAGTGTGGTTCCCAGACCAACACCTCAGAACTTATTAGAAATGCAAATCATCAGCCCATATCCTCTGTATCCTGAATCAGAAACTCTGGGGGTGGGGCCCAGCCA